CTAGCGAGCCAGCGTCTTACCCACTTAGCCACGTCTACCTTATTTAACTGCTAAATCTATTTGTTAAGGCCAGCTCAATTTTCGTCAAGGTCGCTGAGATGTAAATAAGGTTAGTGCACGTGATTGTTGGCGAGATTGTAGGTTAGGGTTAGGGTAAGCATCAGGGCTAGGTCCAGGGTTAGGGTTAGGGTTGGGATTAGCGCATCTCGTGACCTTTGGCGAAAAATTGAGTTGACCTTATCAATTAGATTTAACCCTTATTTAACATGGTCTACTACTCAACAACAAGGATTACTTTGTCGGTGATTTTTCATCGTGGAAGACTAATCCTTCGTATATCACGTTACAACCCGACGGATTATCGGCGACAGAAAGGGTTAAGAAGTCATTATCGATTGATTGATTAATTAATATATAACTCCGACGTCACATGTTTTGTTTACGTTTAGTTTATTAATTTTGCCATACTAGGTTTTTAGTGTATAAACTAATTGGTTTTATAGGACGCTATGGATAACAATTACTATGGTTTATTTCACTGCGACGTTTCAACAAGATTTAACAATTCGTTATCAAGCATATAACACAAATAAATGACAAGAAAAATGCTTATATTCATGTATATATAAGAAATATCGTTATATATATATACACGTGCAGTGCAAACCCTCCAATGCAATGCAAACTCACACTGCTTGTGTATATAACCATATTTTTTGTATACAAGAAATATGGTTATATATATATATAAGAGCAGTGCACAAGAGATCTTGTTGAAACGTCCCAGTTAGATAAACCATAGTAATTGTTATCCATAAATAGTGTTTTATTTGATTATGTTCCAATTACTAAATGTCATTCAAAGAATGGTTTTATATAGGATTTGAAACTTTTACCTACTATAAATCACTCTAAATTGACCAATGTCCAATATTTATGTTTACAATATACAATATATATTATTTATGTTATAGAACATCCTTTATGTTTATCTGCGGTTCAAAAGATATAGTAAATATATTCTGATGTCAACCCCCATAAACAAAAACAGTCAACGTCGTACCTTGGGTTGAGCAATCCATAATCTGTGTGAAAAGAGGTGTATGAATGAAATGAAATGGGGTTTAACGTCTATATCTCTCGGCATCGACTGGGCAAATGAAGACGGGCATGTTGTTTTCAATGAAGGAAATTCTGCCCTAACAGCGGCGCTAAGGCATATTCTTATTTCAGGAGTTTCTTTTACGTGCACGACAATGTGTACACGGGACCTGTTTTTCGTCCCATCCGAACGACTAAACACTGTTCCTTGTAAGGTCATCCGTCCTACACCACTGAATTATCGGCCAATTGACACCGGGAGTGAACTCGGGGACCCCAGTTTAGCGAGCCCGCGCCTTGCACTAAGCCAACGCGGCTCCGCTTATTAGCCATACTCCTCGCAGTGTTTCGTTTGATTATACCTAATCCTACTTAACACTGCTGGAAAGAAAGCAAATTTCTGTTCCAAATTATGACTGGTCAATACGTCGGTAGGCAGACGAAGTGACTTATCTTCATACCGTACCTATTGACGATAAGTCACTTCGTCTGCCTACCGACGAATAGTCCGATTAACAACCAATAGCTAACAGAGTTCTAAAGTGGACCAAATATGTTTACATAACATTACGTCATGACTCACGATTTTATTATGCCCAATTAACCAATGCATAGCAGAATATTGCACCGTTTTTAATACCTTAAATCACTGTCCAAAGTCATAGGGAAGACCCCAGATTAAACGAAGGGCTGTCATGTTGCTGTAATTGGGATATATTTGATTGAGCGGGAAGAATAGACACACTCCCTCAAAAGCTCAAGTATCAGAAGCCAATCCAGCAATGGCCAGAGAGGGATTTCTCGGCCATTGCTTCAGGAATATGCTTGTTACCAGACAGTTTATACATCACAACAACGCATCGGGATTTAAGGGTCGATTTCAGTTACTAACCCAACAAAGAATTGTTCCAAAACACACCCTTCATAGCACACTGGGTGGCGTATGCCCGTCTTCATTATCCCAGTCGGGGCAGAACAGTAAGACGTTAAACCCCATTTCATCTCTTTTCATTTCAAAAACACACCAAGGGCAGATAACCCGTGGAAGTTTTAGTCTCATGGTCAGGTGCTTTAGTTTAAAAGTTTTACTTTCTAGTTTACTTTAGTACTTTTATCTTTAATAAAGTCGATCTACGTGATAGATAAAAAGCTAATAAATATGATCTTATGACCATATTGGGTCAAGTAGGCCCAAGCTGCCCTATCAGTTATTCGGGAGAGTTTTATCAAGGCTAGTTTACACAAGCCATGTATACAAATTTATATCTCAAGTCATTTCATATTTTATCAGATAAATATGATACGCCCCCATGCCTACTCACAAATCTATACGTTTCATCTGTTTATATAAACATTATATCTATTCACTTTTATACGCCCATATTTCACGTGGCAGTGTATTGCAGTCACCCTTTTCCCATCCGTCCGACTGTCGACAAAGCTTGTAAACGCTCTACAGATCATAGTTTGGGCCTTTTTTCTCCGAACTTACACTGTACCAGGGATTGTTCTGTTGGTTCCAATGAGGAACACTACTAAACTTCTGAATAGGGCAAAGAGTTTTCACAGAGTTACTGCCCCTGTCGACGATACTTTGTAGGAGTAGGAGTCCGGACCAAATTAATATCTGTCATACAGATGAACTCTAGCCAAGAGGCCCAATTTTTGAAATCCACGGTGGTTCAGTTAGTAGTTCGAACCCGTGTTGCCAATTTTTGATAACACTTTTCATTATTATTATTGTATATATATATTTATAATTTAGGGATCAGGGCCCTGTTTCTCGAAATTTTAACTAAAAATAACATCCAAATTTTAGTAGATACTTCAATTTTATTGGCTAAGCACTAAAATCAATCTAATATTATCCAATCAAATTACTAAAATTTGGATTTTATCTTAGTTAAAATTTCGTGAAACAGGCCCCGGTACTTTTTTGTTCCTCCTCTTTGATCAATACAGTATTGGAAAATTTGTATTGTTATTATATATGTTTATTGCATTTCAAATTTCAGTAAAATCATATTAATATATTTTTGTACCTATTCATTTATTTTATAAATATGCTAATAAATGGCCATTTTCAATTCATCCCCCGTCTTCATTAGCCCAGTATCGGAGCAGAACAGTAGGACGTTAAACCCCATTTCATTTCATTTCATTTCAATTCATCCATACTGGCTTACTGCGTTGTATTATATGTGGTTTTAACCGCTTCAATTCGCCACCCTGTTATTGGGCCTTATGTTGTTTTTTTTATTCCATATAATAAACTAATTTGAATGATTAGTCAGAGTGAATGTGTACATGACTAATAAAATAAACAAACTACAATTCAATGTTTTACAAGCAAACGAAGATATTTTATTTATAATAGATCTTTTTATTTGTTTAGTAAATGTATAATACTAGTATCTATCAAGTTCATTGATATATCTAAAATTGAACAAAATCCCTTTTAAAAAATGTGGCGTGAATCCCCAACTCGTTCCTCCTCAAGTATGGAGCTGATCAGATTCCGGTTCACCTTGAGTTTTCACATGCCATATGGCATTGTAAGAAAATAAGATGGGGGCTAATTTTTTTAGCTTTATTAAAACCTATATTGTGGGTTAATTTTTTAAATTACTTTCTAAAAAGCAATATATTTTCGGCGCGCATTCTTCTTAAGTTATTAGCCACGGTGGCTCGGTGAGTAAGATGCTGGCTCACTAAACGGAATGTCCGGGGTTCGGTCTCGGTATTTTCCAACGTGGCCTAGTCGTTCGGATACGCCATTAAGCCGAGGTTCCATGTACACGCTATAACCGAGAATTACGCAGACATTTATTTTCTTGGTTACAAAATTCAATAGAGATTGTTATAGGCCTAACGTAACGTCATGGATTGTTAATTGGTATTTCACTATTGATAAACATAGAAACGTAAATATTTAGTAATCTATTGAGTCATTAATACTTCAAGGTCGCGCAGTCATATCCTATTCATTAAATTTAAATGGACCACCTACTAAGAGTGTATATGTAAACAAATGGTCGGACGGAAACACACACAAGGCGTTAATAGTTTAAATCAAATTATAAGCTCTCCGAAATCAGATAAATTAATTAATTTTATATCGATTTTATAAATCAAACTAGGCTAAATTCTGAAATTGCGAAATGGACCGGTTAGTGAAGCCTATACCGTATCCTGTTTGACATGTGACATCGCCATACATTTGGTAGGCCTATTCATACTAAAATATTCACCGGTCAAAGCGTGAATTAACCGGTTTTTAGTCGCTATCTATCGAAGTGGGGCATGCAATTCTGGTCTGTGAAGTGTGTACAGTCCTTCGGATGGGTTAAAAAAAACGAGGTCGATCAGTGCGTGTGAATGGCAGTTGAAATTCGATATAAAATAGGTGTAAATGCAGAGGTTTTTTTTTTCGACCCCTCACCCCACCCCGACCCTGGAGCAAACGTAACAATTGAAATAAAAAGAAAAATACCATAGGCCTATCTTAAGTCTCAAAGTAATCAGAGTATTATGGTCGAGATTTACCTTCCTTACCTGTACTGAACGTAGGCCTATACGTTGTTCAAAATAGAAAAAAAATCCCTTGGAAAATGAAATATGGAAGCAGATTGAGCGCTCCTTTTCAACAGTCATTAACGCTATGACATTGACGAATACTTTTATTTCTGTAAATAAATGTCATTCTAAATGTTATTTAATGCAATGAGTTGGACGGCTTTATGCGACACGGAAAGGTGAGTATCCCACAATATCGTATGATATAGTAAATATAGTACATGGTTCGACCAATCAAAATGCACCATTCAATGAATGGACACTGAGTATCGTACGATTCTACGTCACTCACGTTGCCAATAACAGTGTTTTAAGAAAATCACACCTCAAACTTCATAATATTATTCACTGTTTGCCGGATAACATAGAAGCACTCGAACTTGGACCATATCTACCTTTATTGTGGTGTGTTCCATTTAATAAGTAAGCGACATTTGGAAAAATTAAAGCTGTGTCATTCTGCCCTTGGCCGGCTGGAAAAATCATCCGATTGATCATTAATATTCATGTTGTTCGGGTCGAATCGTATTAGAATATTTTGAGACGACATCATAGTAATTGGTAGTCCTGGGATAAGATCTGACTATTTGTGACCCTTATTCATCAGGGAACTGAAACATCTCTCTAAAGAAGAAAAACAAGAGAACAAATTTTGAGGTCATTCATATACTTTTTTGTTGTTGTGCAGAGGGAGGACCGTCAACTAGTGCAATAGCTGAGCAGGCGGTTTCTAGATCCCCAACGATCTTTCGCGGGTATTAACAACACGCCGGCATCACTCCGGATTTGGGACATTTCTAAAGAATTATTGCATTTATCCGATCTATTTGAGGTGAAGAGTAAATTTGGTATTATCAAGACCATCGAACAGAAGAATGAAGAAATTGTCGTTGGCTTTTTTGTCGGTGTATTTGGTGATACAACTGTTACTACAACCGACACGAGGAAAAAACAGTGAGTAAAAAATACAACGAATTAAAAATGGATATCATTCCATGTCAACGTCGCCAATATTACATAATTGATTTATTTGATATCAATAGTCTTCCACCAAAGTTTACATATTTGAGCATTTTATTTCGTTTTGAATATTTCTGTTTATCTTCACGATAGGCCTAGCCTAATTATTCTGAGAAAAATGTAGACTAGATGAGTAGATCTAGACCCAACGAAATGATGACAGAAATGCCGAAATCCATTTGTGTAATCTAAATCCATTCTATTTATTTATTTGACTTTTTGATTAAAAAATTCAATTAGACAAAGATTTCACTTTCTAGCCAACTTTTGTAGTAAAAAGATTCAGCAGCTTCTTTGAAGCCAAGAGACATTTTGCAATAGTTTACGACCTGGTCTTGGATGCTATAAAAGAATTGTTGTATGGATCTAAATTTATAAGTCTAAATATTATTTTTTACAGCTACAGAAGTGGCAAAATGTCCTAGTTCCCAATTTACGTGTAAAAACGAAAGATGCATCCCTTCAAGTTGGTATTGCGATAAAGATGATGACTGCGCTGACGGATCCGACGAAAATGAATGCGGTAAGTTTTAATTCAAAGAAAATAAGATCTTTAATTTATTAGTCATATAGTATTTTTTATGTAAACAACTAATTTTTTACCTGTAGGCCTATTTGTACCTATTTACATCACAAGGATCGATATATTGATATTGCCGCGTGTTGGATCAAATTCAAACATGTTGGCACAACACAACGCCCACAGAAAATTTTTGGAAATGGCTTTATAAACCGCATCAATTTTTTTATTGTCAGGCCTAGTCAAGGATAATTAAACACCGTTTTGTCAAAATATAAAGTTAGATCTAGATTTTTTTTAAAAAAAAGAAGATTTTTCACCTAAACAAACAATTGATTATTTCACAACTGTATTCTGATTCATATGACGCGCGAGCCAGGAGTTAAAATTATTTCATCATCATTTTCAAGAGCTTTGGAAACCGCTTGTTTTGTCTAGGAAAAAATATAGAATTGTGTAATATGTATGAAAGTGGGCGTAGGCTTGCTTTTTGCTAAAACTATGCGACATTTCAAGAAATGGTTATTTATAAATTATCTGATTTATAAATTACAGGTTTGCGAGTAAAGTCAAATATCTCTCCATAATTTCTCCCCCACTCAAAATGTAGGTCAAATGCCTGACCCAGATTCATCTGATTGGTTAATAGAAGTCGCACTATCAGAAATTAACCAATCGACGCATCGTGCTATTCCAGACATCTGACACACCCACAATAATAGATGGAATTTTTGAGATAATTGAAAGTAAAACGAACCGGCGACCGCGCCTCCTAAAGAAGGAAATTTTATGTTGTTTTTGCGTTTTTGATTCATCTGCAATAAAAAAAAAACCCTAAAAAACCGGTGAAATTAATAGAAATTACAGTTTTTAGATACCTATGCTTATTTCACGCTGTAAATAAATTATCAGTGACAGGCAAGCTTCTGAAACATTCGCGAATCCGCAGTGTATAAAATATATGACAGCTCTTGCTGTACACCCGGCTACCCGTAATTCTGGCAGTTACATTATGAGTCATCGGCAAAGCACCAAAGTTTGTTTTGTTTAAAAAAAAAAAAGGAACCTGCGATATACCAGACAGAAATCTGAAATTCTGTAAATATAGTTATTAATTAAGAATGCTTCCGTCAGTAGAATCTTGCAGTGTAACTAACTGCACTGTGCACATGAAATGAATGAAATCCATAGGCCCTAGAAGTACAAACTATTTTTGGATTTTAGTAGAATTTTAATTAAAATTAGAATTGAATAGGTCACATTATGAAAATTTTAATAATTCATCATTTAATAGTTTAAAACCTCCTAAAACTTTTAAAAGAAAAACAAAACATCCCATTTCATTGACAACAATTTACCTGCGAAAGTCTATAAATTAAAAGTTTAGTCAAATGAATAGGTCCAGAATGTTTATTTTTGCATGATTATCAATTTTGATTAGGATGTAGTTGACAATTATGTTTTGAGTAGCTGTTGATTGCAATATATCCTGTTTGTTAATTAATTAATAGGCTATCTAATAATCCTACACCAAAAGGTCTTTTCTTGTCAACATTGCAGACAGCGCTGCATCCTTTTGATTTAGCTACATGTCTCATTATGGCGGATATAACAGGAAATTGTTGATAATTAATTGGTTTATGTGAAGCCACAGGATAGTAATATTAATAAACAAAAAAACAAATGCACCAAACAAATCTGTCAGTCTAGATTTCATAAAGTCAGGACTTGTCAACAATCACAAATGTATTTTATCACACAGATATCAATATTCACACAGTCCTATAGATGTTGAAATAATTAATCATTAATTAATGACAGTATGACACTAATATTTAACCTCTGTAACACTAGTAACAGCCAGTCTAGGAATTACCTCACAGCTTGAATAATTTTAGTTTTATCAGTACAGATATTGCCTTCTAGTTCTAAAAATCCACCCCAACCTTCAAAATATGAAAGAAATACATCTTGAAGTGAATAAATACAAAAAATTGACAATTCTAGTAGTTCTGTGGCCAAATTTACAAATATTTATTTTAAGGATGCAGGCATTTCATTGGTTGAGAGCTATAAACCCTAGTACAAATTTTACATCTTGACCAATGAAAGGGTTGAATTCTTTAAATATATTCGGTTAAGATTTTGTCAATAAGCATAAGCCCCCCGATTTATTACAAAATAAAAATAATTTTATTTCGTATTTTAATTTAGATTCTGCAACATGTGCAGATGATCAGTTCAGGTGTACAAATGGTAAATGTATACCACAAAGATGGCAGTGTGATGATGAAGATGACTGCCATGATGGTTCTGATGAGTTAACAGGGGACTGTAGTAAGTACATTTTCAAATGTCTAATAATGGCTTCTTGTTTGGCTTCTGGTCATATATTGTAAGTTTGGCCGCATTATATACAAAATGGAACGCAATAAACTATTTAACCTCAAACTTTTCTTAATCCAACTGAGCAACCGTGATTCCCCCACACATAATACAAGCATGATAGAAATTCATGGGTCGAAAGTTTGAATTAGATGGAATGATTACTTGGTATCCTGCTGCTCTGTCAAAATGGGGTGATAAAAAAGTAGATTTTTTTAATCATGTTGCGTAGTTTCGATTCCCCGGTTGTACATGACAAGGAGTAGGGTCGCCTGTCTAACCTCGTGGGTTTTCTCCGGGTCCTCCAGTTTCCTCCCACTGCACAAGCAAATTGTTGAAATAAAATTGAACCACATGTTAGTCCCGAAATGACCTGGTTTGTGTCAAGTGGACATTAAAAGCCCATTTCTCTCTCTCTCTCTCTCTCTGTCTCTCTCTCTGTAATCATGTTAGTACTGTATGACTATTTATGTGATTTATGATCATGTGATGTATTTTAAGAAACCGGTTAATATATGGCAAGCTTATACCTTACGTTATCTATCTTGTGATGACTTAACTCGATTATATTACTGGATAAATTTAAATTTAAATTTAACTTAGCTGAAAATTTTTCAAGTAAACTAGGTCTACTACTAGTACTACATGTAGTTTCTATTAACCAAAATTGATTTTAATCAAGAATAAACTATACTGTCCACTGCCCAGGAATCAGATTAAAAAAACAAAAACATTAATAAATTTGTTTTATATGCCTACAATGTGCAAATAAGTTTGATAAAGAAGATATTTACCATATATATAATAATAAGAGATTTTTGAAATATAGTCATATATATAAGTATTATAAGTCAATTTATGTAAGCTTTTAGCTTGTTTTTGTATCATATCCTTAAAATTGTTATGTTACATTTTGACAAATAGTTTTTAAACCAACGAACACTTGTGCGTCTCTAATATTATAAAGCTAAAGGATAAATAACTAAATAAGGTAATATAAATTTTTAAACAGAAACGCAAAAAACTTGACTCGGGCAATGACTTTACCAAATATTTCAGTGTTCTTATTCAAATGTTAAAGATGATGGACAATAAGACTTGCATGCGTGTTAAAATAATCTTTATCACATAGAAAAAAATCTGAAAAAAAAGATATCTCATTGAGAAATGAAACCGGTAAAACTTGATATTTTAAGTAAAATTTAATATGGTACGTTAAACAAGGTAAAAGGTGAAAATATACGTCTTTGTTATTTATTGGAGAGACTGTGTTGTGCTTGAGGTGTTTTAATGAATAAAACATCCTTCGCCATTTTAACGTACCGGCTACAGGCAGTCGTGTGGAAATTTGTTGCTAGAGTACCGGTAGTTGCAAGAGTACCGGCTACATGCAGTCATGTGGAAATTTGTTGCTAGAGTGCATGTAGTTGCAAGATTTATTATTTAACAGCACTATCAAGTTTGGGAAGAATTAGAAGGCCCAATTTGAATTTTAGAATTTAATTATGTTTTCTTATGACTCTATGAGTTTGGTTAATTTTGGGGTTTACAAAAATGACAGTGTACAGGTACTCCGTTTAAGGATCGGAGTTTAGAAATGGTTGTTAAGCTGCTGTTCAAATTTTGAATTTGAATTAGATAAGATTAAGAATGAATATTCCCTTTCAAACAAACTATCATAACATGGAAAGTAAATAAAGGTTTTCACATAAAAAAAAGTACAGGGAGGTTGAATGGCTGAATGTTTAGCATGTGCACGCTGTATCATAAGGCCTGTCATCAAGTTAACTGGCGTGATTTCGAATCCCTGGTTGTACGTGACAAAGAGTAGGGTCGCCTGTCCAATCTTGTGAGTTTTCTCCGGGTCCTTTGATTTCCTCCCACTGCTAAAGACCCCTACACACAAGCGAAATATTGAAATAAAATTAAACCATATGTTAGTCCCAAAATGACCTAGTTTGGGTCGAGTGGACGTTAAACCCCAATTCTCCCCTCACTCTCTTATAAAAGGTACAGCAAACTTTTGTATATTATTTTATGGAAAATAAATAAAACGTTCACCAGTGAGGTCAGTGTTTGAGGTATAATAAAAGTAATTTATATTCAGATATAACTGACAAGGGTTAAGGAGAAGACCACTCCTTATTATAATAGCTCAGTTCTTTGGTTTCATAAAATAACGTTATCAGTCTTGTTGGGTCATCCGGTTGTCAAAAAGCCTTACCCATTGACCTGATTTCACAATGAGGTACCTTTATGTTTGTATAATGTTATAAAAAAAAAAAGTACATATTTGTTGAAAGATGTGATATTTTAATGTCAAAATAAACCTGTGAAATGTCCCTTAAGCTAAACCGAAAATAACTTGATGTCGAAAACTCGTCATATGAACATGAAATGTCTAAAATACTTCAGTGCAACAAGAATTTGTTAGCTATGTGAAATTGTCAAATAATAAATGGTATAAGGTTTTCTAGAAAAGAGTAAGCATAGCATACCCAGTCCTTCAAGTTTATAAAATTGTGCGGTAGCCATAAAAAGCTCTGGGCAATTTCTCAAAAATGAGAAAAATGCTCCCATAAAAATCTCTACTTGATTATATTGTAATAGTAATTCTACATTTTCTTGAATTAATAAGAGCCAAATTGTATTTATGCTTTAGTCTTGTTTAATATGCAGTTTAAAAATAAACAAAAACTGAAAGTAGTTTATTAATCTCACTATTTAGGAGAGCGATTTAGCGAATTTGCAGGAGTCTGTAATGACTCCCACTTTGGAAATTCGAGGTGTGTCGAGAGGAGCAGGAGCGAAAGCGCATCTTAAAAATGAAGGACTGCATACCCTGGTTCATGCACAATACCTGTCAAATATTATTAAATTTTTATTTAAATGTTCAGGTTCACAAATTGCTTGATAAAGACTCCCAGTGAATATGTTGTTGTGTAATAAACAATATGCAGTTGTTTTCCATAGAAGATAAATGTCACCCGTGTATTTTTATAACCGTTACTCTCAATCCCATTGAAACAATTTCTGTTAGATCTGGCTTCAAAGATAGGTTAGGTAGTGAGATCAAACTTTCCAGGATGTTGGGATTGATTCATTGTCAGCTTAGATATTGCTACTTAGAGCTAGGCTGGTGGGGGGCAGTTTGGGAATTCGGGGATTATGTTGAAAGTTATGTGTTTTTTCAATCTAAAGATATCCAAATTGATATATTTCGACATATGTCATGCAGTTTTAGACTGCTTGAGTTAAAAAGTATTTTTAGGTCAACTTGTGCTTTGAGCTCCACTACTGAAGTGGTATAAATTTAGCTAGCAGGCTGGCTGGTTAGTATTACCTTAGAGTGTAAAAAATGAGGCTAAGTAAACAAATAGCATGTGTGAAATACATAGAATACACATACAAGGGACACGCGTTATTCTTAAAGTGACTTTGTCAAAGCAAAAGTATTAAGGGGGCTTTATGGGAGATTAGATAAAGAGCTGGCAGTTCTCACTATAATAATAGTTTAAATCTAGATAATGTAACGGGAATATGCTAATAATTTCAGTCAAATTGCTGCACTCTGAACCAAGATAATAGCAATTGAATTTTAGGCCTAGCCTCGATTATCATTACTAAAGTCGGTACGATAAAAAAAAAAGTCATTTTGAGACGGAGACTAACATATGGTTTCTGATTTGTCATTATTGGTTGTTTTTAATTAAAATTATTTACCCCTATAATGATTACTTATTAATATCTCCAATGTTATTTAATGTCAATCATCAGTGATCTCACTAATATGCACCTTGCCTTTGATCAGGTTGTTTTCATGCCTTTGATCTTGTTGTTGTAATGCATGGTTTCTGATTTGTTACTGCTTGTCTATATATAATTGCCCTACACATGTGTTACTATACTTGCTTGAAAACGTTTAGAGAACACTCTTTGAAACGTCGACTAAACAAATCAGTAATTGTTCTTCCATAAGTATGTGTTATAGTTTATTGCTCTATCCAGTTAGGGGGATCACGTGGCTAAGTGGATAAGACGCTGGCTGGCGAGGTCGGGTGTTCGATCCCTGTATTGGCCGAGAAAGTTCATCCAGATTTTCCAGCGTGGTTTCCCCTTGTCAGTGATGCAGGACGGAGGGCCTGACAAGGACAACTGTCTAGTCGTTCGGATTGGACGGAAAACCGAGGTCCCGTGTACACATTGGCGTGCACGTAAAAAATCCCTTGGCAGTTTGATTTCGATATAAGAGTAGGCCGTAGCGCCGCCGCCCGGGCAAAATTTCCCTCATAGCACACTGTATGGCGTATGCCCATCTTCATTAGCCCAGTTTAGGAGCAAAACAGTAGTACGTTAAACCCCATTTCATTTCATTTCATTTATTGCTCTATCCAGTTACTAAATGACACTAAAAGATCATGTACAATTATATTTCAACAAATGCCATGTAGGGGGCAATGAAACTTGAGAAAACACACCATGTTGAACAAGTAACCTAACTCTTTATCACATACAAGCTTTGGATCGAAACATTTCCTCTTCAATAATGGACCGGACATTTTATGATCTAATAAAACTCATGCATTAGGAATTAGGCCACTCGACCACCCAAACCCATCTTATTTAAAAGAAAAAAATTTCTTTTTTCAAGAAACAATCGAGCAGCACGAAACATTGTTGAATTTGGATAAGTCTAATTAATTTTAATGGATTTTCTTTTTTCCATCTTACAGCTGCCAAGACCTGTAATGCTGATCAGTTTGCTTGTTCTACTGGAGCTTGTATTCCAGCTGGCTGGAAATGTGATGGACAGAATGATTGTACCAAAGGCGACGATGAGGCGCCAGAACAATGTGGTAAGCTTAATCAAATTCTCTGCCAAAAAAACAATCGCAAATTCTATTAAAACCAAACTTTTTAATCAAATATACGACTGATTGAATATAGTGTCAGACTTTTACCATGTATACTAAATAATGTTCTGTTTTTTTTGTTCATGTCTTTTATTATGGATAAATGTGTTGTGATTGTTGTAATTTTATATTAGTTGTACTTACCTAAAGCGCCCGAGAGCAGCTTGCTTAGTTGAAGTCATCCCATTAAAGTTTTGTACTGGCTATAGATTACAAATACTATGTATAAAAGTCGAATAAATTTAACTAATTGATCAAGTTTGGGATGTGTACTAATTAATTACATTTAACCTTTTCAGATCAACCAATTGATCCAAGTTTCGATTTATTTTTATTTTAATTTTTCAGAGATAACTACATGTAAAGAGGGTGAATTCCAGTGTGAAAATGGCCGATGTATCAGTGAACGCTGGAAGTGTGATCAAGACAATGACTGTGGGGATAACTCGGATGAAAAGAAGGACAACTGTCGTAAGTATTGATGATGTCTTTTGAATCTTGTGAGCCCCTGTGGCTCAGTCAGTATAGGGCTCTGTCTCGTTAAATCAGGAAGTCTCGGGTTTGCTTTCTGTGTTTATTGAGAAAGCTCTCCCGGATTTTCCAACATGGTTTCCCATCGTCAGTGGTGAAACACAATGCATTTAGCAAGGGACCACTGTCTATTAGTTCTTTTGAATCTTGTCAATGTTTTTCCATATAATCATACAGCACCAGAACTGACCATTCTACTGCAAATAAACTCTTCCTCAAAGATACATTATTGGAGATAAGATAAAGAGCTGGCAGTTCTCACTGTAATAGTTTGAAAATAGATAACGTAAATAGAATATGTTAAAAATTTTAATCAAATTGATCCACTCTGAACCAAGATATTAGCGATTGAATTTTGGGCCTAGCCTCGATCATCATTACTACGAAAGAAAACATAATCTCGATTATCCATTTTTTGATTTAATCATGAATGAGTGTTGAGCAGCAGATCGGATTATAATCCAATAAATATTGCAGGCGAGTTGATATCGAGAGTTGATTATGGTCTGGATAAGTTAATTAATGTCTAATTAATAATTTAGATAACATTTCGGGCCTAAAGAAAGACCTGCAATAAGCAGATTTAGCTCTTGCATAATGTATGTTTAAATTATATTTTACAAATTCAAGGTATGTTAATATTTTCCTTTTTTTTTTTCAGCTGATCAAGTTTGTGATGAAGAAGAATTTCAGTGCTCAAATATGATCTGTATCAAAAAATCGTGGGAATGTGACGGAGACTTCGATTGTAATGATCAGAGTGATGAAAAAAATTGTTCTGCTACCGATCGCATGAGTAGATGTTCTGCATCGGAATTTACCTGCGTCGATTCCAAAGAATGCATCCATGTTTCCTGGCAATGTGATGGTGAAAATGATTGCGAAGATGGCTCGGATGAACAACAAGATTGTAAGTTTTTTCTAGTGTTGAAAATTTCGATCCGAATACTTTTGTTGGCTATCCGAATACTATTCGGATAATTCGGAGACGTGAAATTCTTGAACACAATTACATCAAAAGTTCATATACCGGTACTCATAATTTCTTACTTGTTTCAATGTTTATGAGTGTCTGTATGCCGAGTATGAAATTGTACTTTCGATTTGCAAATTGTTTGAGCCGCGAAGAAAAAAACGTGCCTACCTTTAGCCGTAATTATTAAGACTATCTATGACATCGATCTAACATCCCAAAAAATCAATGAGGTGAAGGAATTTGTATAGTATAACTACTCCTGTTATCCGCACCCTCCCACTTATTTTTATTTAGCCTACTGTTTTCGTTGCACTGCATTAATAATTTTATTAGTTACTATCACTAAATAATACGCATAAGGCAACACAAATAAAATAACTTGTTTCTCGGGCACCGCCCGCACGCAAAATTGATTGCGCGTGCAGTCTATTTATTAGTCTTGATGAAAAAAAATAAATATGTAACGCCCGCCCGCACATCGACAAGCAAGTCGTAAAAAAAATATCCCGCATGTACCTACATCCGCCATACATGTATATCTATTCAAATGTATTAAAACTGATTCAGATGAACATGCTGTCTTTTTTATCCGAACAATGGCGAAGTTTGGCAGATTTGCCTTTTTTATTGATATCGAAAGAACCTCCATTTTGTATCACGTGATATTAATTACCTCCCCTGATAAACTAGAATTTGATTCGTGTTAAAAGTCATTGGCGACAATATTTCAATCATTCGATCGTAATCGGCTCATTATTGCCGGCTTCAATCGGTCCTTGTTTGGAAAATCCTATTGATAAAATAATAATGAACCGTAGAACAGGTTAATTAATTATAGCTAAGAATACGATACGATGACGATAGTCGTCATAATGCATACCTTAGAATCTGGGTCATTATTAGCACATTTACGGTAGTTTCGATAATCCGGAAAATAATAATTGGATTACCGATTTGATGGTTTTACTGACCAGTTGTTAGTTAGATTTAAATAGTCATTCAATATAAACACCGGATAGAACACCGAATATCCTGAGAAACACACCGAATATCCCAAGAAACAGTATTTCCGGCAATCTCCAATACCGATGACACGGTGTGACATGCATTGGTTGGAATTCGGTAAATAATTATAAATAAACCGGCGATACTAGATTTAGTTTTAAATACTGTTTACCATGATTATTATTTTTGATACACCTGGTGAAAGAGGCTTAGTTTTTAAAAATATTGTTGTCTTTATGGAGGGCTATTACATAGTCGTATGGAATTTTATTTTAAACCAATTTCAATTATGTGAATTAAATATGGAAAATTATTTTCCTTTCAGTCAGTGTTCAGTCTCAGTGTTTTAGTAGACTTGATTTTGGGTTTATGTTTTAAGTATGTACAATAAAGTTGAATATAACGGAAAGCAAAAACGTAAACAAGTAATGACTTTCTCATTTAAAAAAAAAAAAAAAGAAAGACCGCCCTCCCGCCCCAACAATTTTCAGCAATAGCCAAATTTTATTTTGCACCATCAATGAGTAAAAAAAAAAAAGTAACCGCCCTCCCTCCCTACAGTTTCAGCTGTCAGTTGCCCGAGAAACAAGACATTTATTTTGTGTGGCCTAATGTTGACATTTATGCTCATGGAGCTGCATACGTGATCAATTGCATTGGGGAAAATTTCAAAGTGATCAGACGTAAAAATGGCTAAATATAGAGCATACGGAATGTCAGAATATATTGTAACGAATAGTAAATGGATAGTAAAATGATTCGGATAACCCCTATTTTGTATCCGTTAACGAATATCCAAATAGTAGTTTCAACACTAGTTTTTTCATCCAAATTGTTCGTATAAAAAGGCAATACTTTCTACTTCTAGGTAAACAAAACAATGTGAAAAAAAAATATAAATGGCCACATCATTTTACCCAATAACTTGACTTACAATTAATTTTCAGGATTGTAATTTGGAAAATCGAACATCAATTTGATATTTGTGAATAACTGAACAAATATGAGCATAGAGTTTCAGTTGGTTGATCCTGGCATCCGTTTCCAGCAAGAATTATATCGCTAACAATTGAATACCGTTTAGTAGTGTCTTTCTGTTTATTGGTTGGCTTATAAGGTGTAACGGGTGGTTGTACGCGATACGGGGTAGGCAGTCCTTCACGTTTAAGGGGAGCTTTTGCTCCTGCTCCTGCTCCTCTCGACGCACGGCGGCTTTTCCTTCGAAGGAGTCATTAAAGACTCCTGCAAATTAGCTAAATCGCTCTCCTAAATATTGAGATTAATAAACTACTTTCAGTTTTTGTTTACTTTTAAACTGCATATATTCATGGTATCAGGAGCTTTTTATGGCTCCCGCACAATTTTATAAACATGAAGGACTGAGTAGAGTCAACTGTCCAACCTCGTTGGTTTCTCCAGGTCCTCCAGTTCCCTCAAACTGCTAAAGACCCCTCCGTGCAAGCAAATTTATTGAAATGAAGTTGAGTCATATGTGCTTCCACCTGAATCCACCAAATGTGATAAATAAATTTATTGTTTTTTTCCATTTTGCAGGTAAAATTACCTGTCGACCGAATCAGTTTATGTGTGTACAAGATAGTTATTGTATTCATGGTATATTACAATGTGATGGTAATGATGATTGTTTGGATGGATCAGATGAACATGGTTGTCGTAAGTAACATGCTACCTCAAAATAAATTACATTCTTAAAGGGACAATAACACTCTTGCTGGCTTGACAGCTCCAGAAAATAAAAAATAGCCTTATTCTAAGTACTAGATGTGTTAGGGTCCTACCTGTTGTGTAAATTATCCATTAAATCCTATTTTACTTGTCCAGAGGGTTCAAAAATATTTTTAAATCCAAGTCACATTTGAAAAGCTTTACGTCAGGCTTTTCAAATCATTTAGTTGAATTTTTCCAATTTTTTAAATTAGGTGTGTTAAGATGAAATTTGTATCGTCAATTAATTGGAATATTGTAAAATAGTACAATTTGTTGACCAGAATAAAGATTGGGACATATTATTCAGTTACAACAAGAGTGGTATTGAGACTTTTAAGTCTTCTTAAGTCCTGTATCTATCACAAGTTACACATTGGCATGCATGTAAAAGATCCCTTGGCAGATGGAATTTGATATAAGAATAGGCTGTTGTGCCACTGTCTGGGCAAAATTTCCCTCATAGCACATGACAAGATGTAGGGTCGCCTGTCCAACCTCTTCCTCCCACTTCTAAATACATCAACACACAAATGAATTAATGAAATAGAATTGGACCATATGTTAGTGCCAAAATAGCCTAGTTTGTGTTGAGTGGACGTTAAACCCCATCTCTCTTTCTCTATAAATGTAAGTAAAACCGTACAGAACAAGAATAATGGTAGGTCGTGTATCCAGTCTTCATTAGCCAAGTTGGAGCAGAACGATAGGATGTTAAACCTCATATAAAAAGAAATAAACATTCCATTTGATTATTTTCAGCTCCTAGACCAGACAGCTGTAAAGAGGATGAATTTGACTGTTTTAAAGATGGGAAGAAATGTATTGCGTTAGATATGGTCTGTGATGGACAAAATGATTGCGGACAATTTGAAGATGAAGCTAAAGAACTTGACTGTCCTAGTAAGTTGAACTCTTAAATTTAATCATGGAAGAAAGTGGAGTCTGTGAAATTTAGGACAATATTTGAATCCAAAGTACAGTATCCATCTTTAAAGTTAATCAGGGAGAAGAAAATCAAAGATATGGAAATTTCGATGTTTATTTCTGATTTCAAATAAGCCCATTTTCACAGAGTTCGCTGTTCTATCTTATTTTGTTTGATGAATGAAACGAGTGAAATAACAGTAAATATAACACCATTAACAAATGGTTGTTTTAAATTTTAATAACCATAATATTTACAAAAAATACCTAAAAGACATACTTATCGAAAACATCTACTAATTTATTTTGTCAGGTTTCGACGAGTGTTCACTCAACATTATCAAGCTGGAGTATTCTATTAATGTCAGCGGGGTTGGATGGCCGAATGGTTAGCATGTGCGCGCTGTATCATAAGGTCTGTCATTGAGTCAACTGGCGTGGTTTTGATTCCCGGGTTGTGACGAGGAGTAGGGTCGCCTGTCCAACCTCGTGGGTTTCCTCCAACAGCTAAAGACCGCTATGCGCAAGCAAATTATTGAAATAAAATTGAACCATATGTTAGTCCCGAAATGCCCTAGTTTGTGTCAAGTGGGTGTTAGACCCCATTTCTCTCTCTTTATTAATGTCATTAGCTTGAAAACGTTGAGAGAATACCCTTCACAACGTTGCTTGAATACATAAGTAGCTGTTTTTCCATAAGTATGTGTTATAGTTTATTGTTCTATCCAGTTACTAAATGACGCTAAAAGATCACAATAACATAGAATATTATCACACCCACTTTTACGTTGACTAAAACTATCGACTATCAAGTACCAAGTTGTAACACTATGTTTTATTTTGTTCAGTAGACGAAGATTCTGATTCTAAAAAAGGTATAATATCTGTTGTAGCTTCCAGCTTTCGTTGTTTAGTTGTTTTTTTTAAATCACATGGGCTGTCACGTGACATTTCGTCACATTTTCCCACAAATGTTTGGTACTGTAGTGGATATTTGTATTTTCGTATTGACGATTGCACAGTAAAGGGGTGATTCATTGATACATGTACATGTATACGAAAACTAAAACAAACAAATTAAAATAGAAATATTTAGCACAATATGATTTTAGTATGTAATATTAGGGAAATATCACTGTAACCCAGGTATCATTTAATCTTGTGTATTTAGAACTAATTTCTTTCACATTCATTCAATATCAAATCTTTGTTTAAAAATTTGTAAGAATCGTTTAAAATCACCCAAAGTCATCTAATTTGTACTTTTGTCCAGTTCAAAGTTGACCATTCAGTTTTGATAATGAGTATCCAATTTTCAAGCGTTTAATTTCTCAATCACTGTTAAAAAGTAAACAACCCAATTGATTATTGATCTATAATGATTAATTTTTGAACAGTTGTCAGGAAATTAAATACTTGTAAATTGGACACTCATTATCATAATTAATCAGTCAACTTTAAGTACACAAGTACAAATTAGATGATTTGGAGTGATTTTAAAGGATTTTTACAACTTTTTAAACAAAGATTTGATGAATGTGAAAGAAATTAGTGCTAAATACGCCAGATTAAATGATACCCTGTTTACAGTGATACGTTAACAGCTTAACTTGTAGTTTAGAGATTAAATACCACCGTTTAATGTTGTCTGTAAATGTTCGTTTTCACACGGAAATGGTAAAAGGGATTAGTTTTATAAAAATTGCACTTTATAATTTCATTAACGTCTTCGTCGTTATTAAACAATACAAGATTAATATTGTCGTTTGTAAATGTCACCATTTTGTAGATGTCTTTCTTTTTTGCCACTAAAAATGGTATGGAGAAAATTAACACTTAATACAGATACTTATAAAATGTAGTCACTGTTAGTAGATGTCACTAAATGGACTGGAAAAACCAGACTAAGTTTACACTTGATCAACAAGTTGTATTCATTTACTGCCAAAAGCAGTTGACAATTTTGTGAACTAACCAATTGTGTTGTGTTTGTGGATAAATTTAAGGGTAATGATATTTGGATTAGATTATAATTGATTGGTTGGCTTGGCCTGCTATTGATTTGGTAACATCTTGTTTTTGGTGGGGGTGGTTGGTTTTGTTATTTTTTGAAAATATTTTATTTCCTTTGCAGACAAACCATGTAGTACCAACAATGGAGGATGCTACCAGAAATGTGTGAATTTATATCCAGGAAATCATAGGTGTGAATGTCATAAAGGTTTTGAATTATCTCCAAATTCAACAACATTTTGCCAGGATATAGATGAATGTCAGTTAGTTGGATCGTGCTCTCAGTTATGTACGAACTTTAAAGGAGGCTACAAGTGCCATTGTACGGAGGGTTATACGCTTGTTCACGAAAAATACTGTCGGGCTAACGATGGCAGTGCTGAACTTCTATTGGCTAATCGTAAAGATCTTCGACGAATCAATATCGAGAACAACAAGAAACCAGTGTATGAATTATTGGTTGAAGACGAAAAGGTCGAGTGTGCCATCTCTGTGGATTATGATATTCGTAGCAACAAGGTTTATTGGACCGATGTCAAATTGGAAAAAATTTTAAGGTATCAGTCACGATTTTATATTATCTCAAACATACATGTAAGAAAGTCTCTTGAAATAGTAACCATAACAGAGAACAAGAGAAATAGGATTTAACAACCACTCAACACAAACTAGGTCATTTAGCAGTGGGAGGACCATGAGGTTGGACAGGCGACCCTACACCTTGTCATTTCGGGACTAACATACGGTTCAATTATAAGAAAATTACTGATACTTATGTTATTAAATTATAGCTAGTCAGATTTCATTGATTCCAATGGATGTGAATTTAAATTCATTACAACTATTCTAGTTGCTAATTCATGTGATATTTAACATGGCCAAATATGTGAGAAACAGATTGTATTGTTTAATTGGCCTAGGTTCCTTTTTTTTTTTCTCCTGTTTATTATTCAGATAATTTTTCTTTTATTGTGCAAAATAAGTTAAAATAAACGTAGAGTATTATAAATTTTTGATGTGTTTTTCAGTGCTGATATTCAGGACAATAAGAATGTAATAGCTATAGCCGAGAATCTCGTCAGTACTCCTGATGGTATCGCGGTCGATTGGGTCCACAAACATCTATACTGGACCGATACAGGTTACAATAAGATTGAAGTTTCATCTCTAGATGGTAAAATGAGACGTGTTTTGATCAATAGTGATTTAGATGAACCAAGAGCTATTGTTGTAGATCCAAAGAGTGGGTAAGTATTTATGTATTTATTCTTGTAATCAGTGCCAATAAACCAATTTGTGAGATTAGTCAGTTTTAATATTTGGGGGGCAAAATATAATCACAGAAGCGCAAATTCGTTTGTTTTGCTGTTTTGAGGTTGTTTTTTTGGGGTTTTTTAAGGTGTGCTATTTTGTATTTTACCATAGACCATATAAAAAAATAAAAAAATTCTGGTTTATACAAGTAGCGATCCTGTGAAAAAATATTTTTGTTAATAAATTACCAGACTTGTTTTTATGTATTGCCATACATTTGAGTTTTTTGGTACATCAATATTTATTTGTCAGTGAACAAGAGAACAAGAAAAGCTTAATATCTGTGAATAGTAACTTTTTATTTAAATAAATTACTTGTTCTTCAGGTATATGTACTGGACTGATTGGGGTAACACACCTAAAATAGAAAAATGTGGTCTGGATGGTACTATGCGTAAAACTATCGTACAGACCAATATCCTCTGGCCAAACGGAATAACACTTGGTGAGTACAAAACTTAATAAAGCGTTCTATAATGTCCTCAGAATGTCACGGAGGATTAAAGGGACAATAACACTCTTGTTGGCTTGACAGTTCCAGAAAATAAAAAATAGCCTTATTCTAAGTACTAGATGTGTTAGTGTCCTACCTGTTGTGTAAATTATCCATTACATCCTATTTTATTTGTCCAGAGGGCTCGAAAATATTTTTAAATCCAAATCACATTTGAAAAGATTTACGTTAGGCTTTTCAAAAAATTTTCCAATTTTTTAAATTAGGTGTGTTAAGATGAAATTTGTGTCATCAATTAATTGGAATATTGTAAAATAGTACAATTTGTTGACCAGAATAAAGATTGGGACATATTATTCAGTTACAACAAGAGTAGTATTGAGCCTTCAAAGCCTTCTATAATGTCCTCAGAAAACAAAGTAAATCATCTGACGGCATGGATTCAATCTGATTAAAAGGGGGCACATCAAATGATTTTATAGGTGGCAGTGGCTTGTTTATATCGTCTGCAGAGAATGGCGAATGTCTCAAAATATTCAGTCTAAGGTCTTTGTAAATACGGAACGGAATTGAACCACTTCTGAACAGAAATTCCTTTTAGAGGATCACGTGGGTAAGACGCTGGCTCTCTAGCCTGGAGGTCGGGTGTTCAATCCCTGCGTTGGCCGAGAAAGTTCATTCAGATTTTCCGGCGTGGTTTCCCCTTGTCAGTGATGCAGGATGGAGGGCCTGACAAGGACAGCTGTCTAGTCGTTCGGATGGGACAAAAAACCGAGGTCCTGTGTACACATTGGCGTGCGCGTAAAAGATCCCTTTGCCGCTGCCCGGGCAAAATTTCCCTCATAGCACATTGTATGGCTATGCCCGTCTTCATTAGCCCAGGTTAGGAGCAGAACAGTAGGATGTTAAACCCCATTTCATTTCCTTTTAGAGATTTAAACTTTAACAATATGGTAGTTTGAAAGGATTCAAATTTTATCCAATGACGATCACAATCTTTAATATTTGTATTTGTTTTCTTTGTAGATTATGTTGATCAACGTTTGTATTGGGTTGATGCTAAACTTCATATTATTGATAGTGTTGATTTAGATGGTAGAGCTCGTCGAACTATTCATAAATCTCAAGTCTCCATTCATCATCCATTTGGTATTACTGTCTTTGAGGTAGGTTATTGGTAGTTTTATCTAAGTTTACGAATAGCTTGTAGTAAGCCTGGAAATAAGGCACCTGTCACAGACATGGTTCCGTCTTCATTAGCCCAGTCGGAGCAGAACACTAGGATGTTAAACCCCATTTCATTTCATTTCATTTACATCCCTCTGGTGACCTGTCATCTCTCACAGTGTTTTATTGACATTATTAACACTTGCCTGCACAAAGTTCAAAATGCCTTTTACTAGTTCATTAGTTCCTGACATTTTCCAGGCCAGAGCAGTAGTCTTTGTAAAATTTCATGACAACTTGGCTAATTGATTGCTTAAAGGATTTGATGGGTTTCCTGAAACTTTTCTTCTTCTTCTTGGGGCTGTTGGAATTTTCCAAGCTTGTTATTTTGTTACATAGAAATAACTGTAATTGATAAAAAGAGATTTGTTGAGGAAGGGGTGTGTTTCGAAATATTTATAATTCTCTGGGCTGCTAGAGTTTTCCGACAGTTTTACATAGAAACACCTGTAATAAATAATGGAATTTTTTTTAATAGGACTCCCTATTCTGGACTGATTGGAAATCTGAATCTGTACGAAAGATGAGTAAATTTGGAGTAGGAGAACCTGTATCTGTTGTTACTGATTTAAACGAACCAATGGATGTCCATATTTTCCATGAATTCCGACAACCTGCATGTAAGTACACTAGTCGTAATGCTTCCATGATGATACCAATAACTTACCGACATTTATACACGACAAGGAGAGCAGAGTCGTCTATCTAACTGCGTGGGTTTTCCTCTCAAGTCTTCTGATTTCCTCACTCTACACACAAGCAAATTATTTTACTGTATGTTAGTCCAAAAAATGATCAAGTTGAGTGGACGTTAAACCCCATTTCTCTCTCTCACCTGTTTCCAGTGCTCTTCATGGACAAATAAATACAAAAACCAGTTGAATAAAGGAAAAGAATCAATACATTTAACATAAAAAAATTAACAGTAAATGATCAAATTGATTTTTTTTTTTTTAAATATTTAATTGAAATGATTTTGTCTTTACAGCTGAAAATAAATGTGGTACAGACAATGGTGGCTGTGAACATTTCTGTCTTCCCTCCCCCATATCAAAGGATGGTCCTAAATATAGATGTGTCTGTCAAGATAACTTTGAACTTTCTTCTAATGAAAAGACATGCACAGAATCAGGTATGTTGATTCCCTAATTTCCAGGTGGTGTCGGGCGTCTAACATGCACTTTAAATCATAAAGTTTGTCATGTGAGTCAATCGGTGGGATTTCGATTCCCAGCTTGTATGTTAGTTTCATATGTTAGTCCCGCAATGTGCTAGTTGTTTTTGAGTGGACTTTAAACCCATTTCTTTCTTTCTCTCCTTAATTTTTTTGCTAATATTATACTAGTTATTTGTGTAAGTAATTGACTTGTAGAAAAATAAAGAGTCTCTCATAGTTCTATTTATAGATAGGATCATGCAAGCTATTATAGAATTAAATAATAAATTTATGTAATTATTGTTATTTCTCCCCACAGCCAATAAAACATCAGTTAATCCTAATCCAACAGATAGTACAGCAGATGAAAATTCTCCAAATAAAAGTAAACATAGACGACGTAAGTTGACACTTTTTTTATTATTAATTGATATTAGTTCAAATATCAAATGCTACTTTTATTTTTAGAGTATTAAGGATAGTATTCTTATTTTAATCGCTACCCTGGTTGTACATGACAAGGAGTAGGGTCACCTGTCCAACCTCGTGGGTTTTCTCCGTGTCCTCCTGTTTCCTCTCACTAGTAAAGACCAAGACGCACAATCAAATTATTGAATCATGTGTTAGTCCCAAAAATGACGTAGTTTGTGTCGAGTGGACGGTGAACCCATTTCCTCTCTCTCTCGCTTAATTGCTAACCAGTTTCTTGGGATTTTCCAGCGGCGGTTTCCACTTTCCACTTGTTAGTGGTGCAGGATAGAAGACCTGTCTAGTCATTCGTATAGGACAAAAAACTGGCATGCGCCTAAAAGATCCCTTGGCAGTTGAAATTCAAAATAAGAGTAAACTGTAGTGCTACTCTCATTGCGTATACTTGTCTTCATTAGCCCGGTTGGTGCAGAAAAGTAGGACCTTAAACCCCCATTTCATTTATTCTATTAAGAAAAAACCCAACAGAATCCAGTGATAAAATCTCAGTCGTCTATTACATTTTTTTTATGTCGCTTAAAATCCTGTGTTCAGCCAGACGGTCTCAGTTGATATCGGTAGACATTTGTTTGTATTAAAAGAAAACTTCCCAATTCAAAATTTGTGCTAGGTTTCTAATGTAAACCAGATTTCTATTAAATGCAGTAATTTTTTGCACCCAGACAACTTGTGTAAAACATAGTTAATGTTTACCAGATGTTCTGTGTTGCTAGGTTACGGGTGACACGGCAACAGTAGATCTGTTGTCACTTAACCTAGAATAACTGAAGGCTTTTACATTGAGTTATCTTACCCCCTTTAAACGTTAAAATTTATCATTAACATATGGAAACAAATAAAAAAAAATAAAATAGAATAAAATGGGTTTTAATATCCTATTTTTCTGCACCAACGACAACAAAAAATAAAAAAAATATTCACACAGCCATTAGTTAAACATACTAAATTTGCCTATTGCAGGTCGCCTGTCCAACCTTGTGGGTTTTCTCCGGGTCCTCCGGTTTCCTCTCACTGCTAAAGACCCCTACGCGCAAGCGAATTATGTAAATAAAATTAAGCCATATGTTAGTCCCGAAATGACCTAGTTTGTGTCGAGTGGAAGTTAAACCCCATTTTTCTCTCTCTCTCTCTTGCCTATTGCAAGTCATATAAATTATTCACTAGACATTAATTAACTTACCAAGACAATAATCAACTCCGATGTCATTGGATGGCTTCGATATTTAGTAGATTGGAATAAGTTTTGTACTGGATGAAATAACCGTAAAAATGGATAATCGAGATTTTTTTTTATCAACAGTAATAATGACAATCGAGGCTAATTTGATTGAATTTTCTGCATATTCTCTTTTCATTATCTATTTTTTAAACTATATTATAGCAAGGATTATCATCTCTTTATCTCAATCTTACCTAATGCCATTGTAACTACACACAATAATATTTTTTGTACTTTTGTTTTATTTTTCTGTTTCTAGTTCAATCACATAGTTCATTCTTAGGTTTCTATTTTACAGGATTCCATGAACCTTTGTTGACCACCAAAAATACTTCTGTTATTCCTGTAACTAAAGAGCCTGTTGTTCCTGTAACTAAAGAGCCTGTTGTTCCTGTAACTAAAGAGCCTGTTGTTGTCCTACATCCGGATATGAGTGTGTCGACAGAAGGTGGCTATAACATAGTAACAACAACGGATAATTCTACGGCAAGCGAAAATTCTGCACCTATACCCAAACCAACGGACGAAAATGTTGGACAGGTGGCATTAATTGTCATAGCTGCCATTGTGGGATTAGCAGTTATTGTTGGAATTGTAAGTTGATCATTTTACAGATTCGATTTATAAAAACCATTGTCATAGTTAAAACAGGTCACAATTCTATGGAATACAATTACTGCTTTTTACTGAGCGACGTTTCGTCTAGGCTTCTCTAGTCATATCAAGCAATGATAAAATATGAAAATATAACAAGACAATATAAACATGTACACAACAATATTTAGTTAATGCTGACCAACCAGAGATACCCCTTAATTACGTGTACCTAAAGGGAATGTCGCTCAGTAATAGGCAGTAATTGTATTCCATAGAATTGTGACCTGTATACTCATAGTTAAAGTAGTGAACAGGCGGTTTTTGCTCAAGCAAAATTTCCCTCATAAAACACTGTATGGCATATGCACATGTTCATTAACACAGTTGGAGCTGAACAGTAGGACGTGAAATTTCATTTCATTTGCATCTTAACTGCTTCAAGTTTCATTTATACTTGTATTCTTATAACAACTACAACTTTATTTGTTTTATACTTTAAACATAAAAGAAATATTTTTATACTTTCAGGTATTATTTGTAATATTGAAACGAGTTAAACGAAAGAATATGAAAAGTATGAACTTTGATAATCCTGTTTATCGTAAAACAACCGAAGACCAGTTCTCTATAGATAAAGATAGTAAATTACCTCCAGTAAGTATACACGTCTATCATAACCTGTTGTAGACAGTTCGGAGCCACGGTGGCTAGGTGGTTAAGACGCTGGCTCACTAGCCTGGAGGTCGGGTGGTCGATCCCTGCATTTGCCGAGAAAGTTCATCCTGATTTTCCAACGTGGTTTCCCCTTGTCAGTGGTGCAGAACGGAGGGCCTGACAAGGACAGCTGTCTAGTCCTTCGGATGAGATCAAAACCCGAGGTCCCGTGTATACATTAGAATGCACGTAAAAGATCCCTTGGCAGTTGGAATTCGATATAAGAGTAGGCGATAGTGCCGCTGCCCGGGCAAAATTTCCCTCATAGCACACTATATGGCGTATGCCCGTCTTCATTAGCCCAGTACAGGAGCAGAACAGTAGGACATTAAACCCCATTTCATTTCATTTGTAGACCGTTCTTTAGTGGAGGGGTTGGATGGACAAATTGTTAGCGTGTGCCATTGTATCATAAGTTCTTTCATTGAGTCGGGTTGGATGGCCGAATGGTTATTACGTGTGCACTGCATCAAAAGGTCTGTCAATGAGTCAACTGGCATGGTTTCGAATCCCTAGTTGTACATGACAAGGAGTTGGGTTGCCTGTCAAACCTTGTGAGTTTCTCTGAGTCCTCAAGTTTCCTCCCACTGCTATAGACCCCTATGCACAAGCGAATTATTGAAATAAAATTTAACCATGTTAGTCCCAAAATTACCTAGCATGTGTAGAGTGGAGTTAACTATCTCTTCTTAATAATAGCACTCGTATGTCAAAGTCAAACTGTTGCTATCATTGAAAATTACTGTAATAATGCCAGACATGCTTTCTTTTTCTAATACTTGATATTATTTCTCCTTTGAAATTTCATTTTGAAAGACTTGATTTCTACATCCATTTGACCTTCTTAATGTTTTGTGTTTTTATTTAAATGTTATTTCTTTTTGTTTTTTTGCAGAGTCTGCAGCCATTAAATCCTCCCACCAATGAAATTGTCTGAGAGAACTTTGTGTAACTTTTAAAAATTTCTAATGACTGCGAAGTGTCAAACGAGACAAAGCAAATTGTTTTTAATTGGATTGGTGTTTAAATCTCTCAATTAAATCTTCATCAATGTCATCAACCAATCATATCTTGTGTTCTATCAAGCATGAAGAAGATCATTATTGCATCAAACGGTTTGTCTCAAAACATTCATTGACATCACCAACTTAATATTGCCTTCTCCACGTTCTTCAACACCCCAAGACTTGTGTCAGAGATGGATTCAAAGAAAGTCAACGCGATAGTTTGACTCGGTTGTGTGCTTGTGCGCGTGCATGTGAGAATGCGTAAGAAATGTAATATATGATACCAGAGTAGTAATATATTTGTTAAGTTATTATTTTGTGCACCTTGAGAATTATTTTTCTTTTTATGTGTGTGTTAATTTATGAGTTACATTATTTTAATATCACTAGCCTGTAAATCTAAGTTTGTACGTTCGAAGACTTTGGATATACTAGTTCTGAATATATATCGTACACGGTGCCGAACTTGTTAAATGTGGCCTCGTGGCCTCGTATTGTATAAATTGTTATATTGTATGGCAGCTTCTAATATCAAGCCTTTGATACAATCGTCATATTTTGAGTTTAAGATCTTTTTATTTATTATATTATTATTATTATTATTTTTTGATCTGATATCGTCGTCAACAGCTGTAAGAACAATATATTGTGGAGTTATCTCAAATTATTATTTAATATATCTGGTATTTGTGTGGTTTAGAATTCTAAATCATCGTTGTATAATATCATAATCGATACTTGTATATTAACACTGGTCATTGGTGTAAAACGACGTTAGTCCGTGCCCCCCCCTCTATAGGACTAACTGTTGTAGATTGTGCTAGCCAAGATGTTTCAGATAGCATTACATAACTCTATTTAAAAAAGATCTTATACATAATCAACAACTGAAAGGGGTTAATTCAATTTTGTATTGAAAGATTTCAAAATATGTTATAAAAATTGAAATGCTCGATCATTTTATAAAATCGGATGGTGGAGTTAACCAAAAAAAAATTAAATTTCCAATTGATTTGATTTCATTAATGAATTGCAATTTGTAGATTGATTCAAAAATTATCTCAAATATTTACCTGTTACATCATTGAGCTATTATTAACAGGTCATGGAGTTATGTCAGGTCATGACCTGAAAGGTCAAGATTGTTTGACCTTAATTGACCTTGGTACATGTTAGCATTGGTTTTGACAAATTATTTGCATTGATACATTGACCCCTTTAAATCATTGCAGTAACCTACACATTAATGGTACTAATTATACCCAATCAGTAGGCCTACTCAGATTTCAAAACCTTAACAGAAAAATTATTTTCTTTTACATTCCAGTAATCTTTGAGTTTTAAAGAGAAAAAACGAAAAAAAATACACCTGACTTTTAAATTATGAAAAAGAAAAAAAAATTATCTGTTTTTCGATAATAAAAAAATCTTTGCACTCTTGTAAATATTGAAAATGTACAAATTGCCATTTACCCTATATCTGTACAAATCCCTTAGTTAGACATGAAAATTGGTACTTTTTGAAAAATAAACACCTCATTTTGATAAATGGACTAGTCTGATATAAAAACCATACTGCAATGTCATGGTTTGGGTAAGTTCATATATTAGAAAAGGGTTTGTTTTATTTTTTGGGGATAGTGACTTTGTTTCATCATGTAAATTTTGTAATTAGTTGTAAATATTGTAAATATCGTGAATTTGAGGTGTGGTTTGCGTTGTCATGTAAGATAAGCTTATATATAACTTTTTGGTTACTGATGGTCGTATTCCTGAAACTGACTGAAGCCAATCAAAATATATCACTCGAAAATAACCGATGATAATCTCTGATTAGCTTTATTCGATCAAAATTTATCACTCGAAAATAACAATGATAATCTTTGATTAGCTTTATTCAGAGTTTACGAAGAGACCTGGGTGTAGTATAAATGTGGTCATCTATATGATTTGTACGATTGTTGTTTACTTTTTTTCAGGTTTTGTTTTTTTTTATGTGTGTACGAGTGAGAGAGAATGCCTGTGGGTGCATTAAGCGTGATTTATTCCAATTTAGTGCTATATTAATTAGATAATGTTAAATTTTATTAATTATTTCTATAATAATCATAACATATTAATTTGTTACCTGTTGATTGTCAAATTCTACCTTTTTTTGTGTTATTAGTTGACAATTTTGTTGAAGTTACGGCTATAAATGAAATTTGAATTTTTATTTGAGATTATTCGTCTATGCATTATTACTTAGGTTATATATATTCTCTGCTTCTATTTTCTCTACCTCAAAAGTTGAATATATTTTGTTAAAAGAATACCCTATAGACCCAATGTGGGTGACATGCCCTTTCAGAGCAATCATGTACAACATGAAAATAATTTTTCTCTTGCATGTAAAAATTTGGTAAATTACTATAAAATTAATTCTTTATTTTAATTTATTAACATAAGAAAATTGTTGATAATGATTCGGACCGAAATATTATGAAAAAAAAATCCCCTGACATTCATGATTTTCCTTCACATAGGTACTAAGGAAAATGGCAAAAATATACTTCATTTATGTAAAAGAATTATTTTTTCTGTCTATGCTCTCAGTTCGTTGGGTTATTTTATTCTTTGCTATTTTACATAATAAATATATACTAAACGTATGCATATAGATTTTAACCATTAATTTCTTTTATTCTATAGGATAAGTGGAAACCCTTATCTCATTATAGTGTTCCTTTATTTTGTTTGTCTTACTGTATGTAAATTTTCTAGGAAATAATTTAATACTGGTAGATGTATTTAGATGAAATCCAATTTATTTGCCAAACTTTTAAAGGCCAAGAATTTTTTTCAATCTTTAAAACAAAAAAAACAAAAAATTACAACGAAGAGTCAACAAAGTACACTAGAAATAAGCAAAAAATAATCACAATTAAAATGACAAAAAAAAATAAAACTATGCACAATATTTATCGGTGAAATAAGGAGGTTGCTATTCTTATTTTGTTGATTATTCATGTAGGGTTCATAGATTAGAGCTTAGAGTGTGTTCTACTTAAAATATTCTTAATCATAGAAATATAACCTGTTATTATTGGGCTAAAAATTCCTCAAATTATACCATATGAAACAAAAATTCAATTGTTACATATTCAGTCGTTGATGCTGTCTTAATAAATATTTCTGAATACATTTTGGAGCTGTGACCAGTTCTTATTTCAATGAAAATTTCTCAAATTATTTTCTATGTAATATGATTACATTTTGCTCTTAGCAGCCATTTATTTAGTTGGGTCATAGATCCAATTTTTGATGCTGTCGGAAATATTTCTGAATAATTTCAAGCATTAACCATATCGAACTATAAATTTCGAAATTTATATCGTTTGTAGCGATCTATTTATTTGGGTCAAAGTTCCATTCTTTGATGCTGTCTAAAATATTTCTGAATTGGTTTTTGAGCTGAATATTAGGACAAGATATGTTTGTTGATTAAGTTGTATTTTTAATGTAGCACATCACTGTGTAGAAATAATAATAAATAGCTTGCTTGATTTATAGTAGTGTAATTATAATGTACATATTTCTGCTTGAAATGGAAGGCATCCACAGCTGTTTTTTTGTGAAAATAAAGTTATATTATAAATATGGTGATTTTGTATGAATGACAGTCTGAGTGAAGTGAACTATTTTAAATTGTATGCTTCAATGACAATAAATATATAAAATAAAAAATGATTATTTTTTTTTTTATTAATTGGTGAAATGGGTAAAAAAATCTGTAAATAGGCGAACAGCCTTCCAAGATTTCTCTCTGCTACTAGTTTCGTTCTATTCGAAATCTTTTAGACTTCATTGAGGATGTGTGATTGCCATCTTTATATAGTCGGGACCAGAGCACATTTGACGTCACAAGTGGACTGGAGTCATCTTAAACGCACTACTATTTTGCTCCAACTGGGCTAATGAAGACAGTTATTTGGTAATAGAGGAGAGAAATGGGGTTTAACGTCCACTCGACACAAAATAGGTCATTTCGGGACTAACATATGGTTTAATTTTATTTCAATAATTCGCTTGCGCGTAGGGGTCTTTAGCAGTGGGAGAAAACCCACGAGGTTGGACAGGCGACCCTACTCCTTGTCACGTACAACCGGGGATTCGAAACCCCGCCAGTTGACTCAATGACAGACTTTAGGATACAGCGCGCGCGTGCTAACCATTCGGCCATCCTACCGGTAATAGAGCTTGATTGTAAGAGAAAGTGTAGTGGTAGAAAGACTTCTTTAATCTTGGGCCCATAGCCATGGCAACTGGGGGATGGAACAGATTTCTTATTTTTGTCATGGATTGAACAAATTGTGAAACAGTTTTGCATACTAGTCGGATGGTCTATCAGAATACACAAGGTAAACCATGTGACGCTGAATTGAGTGGAGTGATCAACTCCTAGGATTATATTGGGTGTGTGTGAGGAGATTGTTACTCAAAACACTGAAACTGGGTGGGAGATGAGTTACAGCAATGAAACTGAGTTTAACATCCTACTAAAGACAGGCATATGCCATGCTATGGGGGAAATTTTGCCTGGACAGCATTCTACGGGCTACTCATACAGAATTCCAAGAGAAAGAAATCTTTTACATGCATGCCAATGTGTATGGGGGGACCTTGGTTTTCCATTCCATCCAAATGACTAGACAGCTGTCCTTGTCAGCCCCTCCGTCCTGCATCACTGACCAGGGAAAATCACACCGGAAAATCCCGATGAACTTTCTTGGCCAATGCAGGGATCGAACACCCGACCTCCAGGCTAGCGAGCCAGCGTCTTACCCACTTAGCCATGTGATCCCCCTCATGGAGTTGAACACAAGGTACAAATCTGGATGAGATGAGACAACCCCATAGTGTTGTAACATGGGACTGATCTGGGCACACTGTATCCTGGGAATGAAGAGAAGGATACAGGATTTAAAACACTGAACTAGGTGGGCAGATTGTATCCTTAGATTAAATTGGTTGAAGAGATGGGTTACTAGGGCTAAAACATGTGATCACAGAGTTAAAAACACCTTACAAAACTAAGTGGGAATAAGAAGCCTTAGCATTTAAACTTATATTGAGCAAGGTGGCGCGACATTATATAAAATTGAGATAACCAATCAACTGAAACAATGCATAGCTTCACAAATGAAATAAAAGGAAATGGGGCTTAATGTCCTACTTATCTGCTACAAGGAAATTTTGCCCGGGCAGCGGCCTTCCTGCCCACTTTTCATCTTATTCATTTACGTGTATACATTTTTCCATTCCATCCAAACGACTAGACACTATTCTGCATACCTTTATTCATGAACAGTTTAACCTCATAATATTTAATCGTATAAATATTATTAGTCAGGCGGAGGTAGATATTGGATACTCTCATGTTTTTAATTCCCCTAACTATGTCAAATATTTACCCCATGATGTATAAAACATGGTGTTGTATAAAGAGACATATGATTAATTTATGTATCCAGGTTGTTAAATTATGTATGCAGCTTTAAGTTATTTGACCTAGTAATTGATAGCTCCAGGCAATATGTCAATACACTCTATATAATATATAATATGTTATTTACACACAGCGCAAGTATATGTAACAGTGTGTATGGTATCCTTCTAAAACTTAGACATCATAAAAAAAAACCAATATTTATGGTTGGGTGCACAACATATTGAAATGCTGTTACCTTTGCTTAATAATAGAAATGAAATGAAACGGGGTTTAATGTCCTACTGTTCTGCTGCGACTGGACTAATGATGACAGGCTAAATAATAGAACAGTCCAACAGAAATACAAGATAAATCATTTATTGATTTTGTTGATAAATATAAATAATTTGTTTTTTATGTACATATATATAAATATTTAATTAAACTGTTCAATTTTTCGCTATTTAACAGGTAATTGTCTGCAATATCACTTCGGTGGAAGCAGACGTTAAATAAAGCTATTTCACACACACTTTTTTTTTAATCCCCGGTTGTATGCGACAGTAGGGTCATCCGTCCAACCTTGTGGGTTTTCTCCGCGTCCTTCCACTGTCACGTACAACTGGGGAATCAATGACAGACCTTATGATTCAATGGTTATGCGCTAACCATTCCGCCCTCTAATATTATAGCACATATCTGGTTGCTGTAGAGGATGTGTATCTGGGTAGTTTACACTCTTGTTCCCTTATGTAGTGTACTTAGGAACTTAACTTTGGCATTTTCTGGGGGATAGACATGTCCGCTGACATTGCTACAATAGTCACCAACAGTAGTGCACTTGCCAGAGTATGCAGTGATAGCACATCTCCATTGTGTCCAAGTCTGCCAAACTTTGTTTCAGTTGTAGGGGTAACCAAAATAAACAGATTAAAACACAGACTCTTTTTAGTTTCGTTTTTTACAGTTCAAAATTTCATTTTACTTGTCTTCACAACACTAAGATCTGGAAGAGTTGTTATATAACCCGCGTTCTGGATGATGTGAGGGATTAGACAATGCAGGGGCGAATCCAGAGGGGGGGGGGGGGGGTCAAACACACACACACACACCCCTCTCAGCTAAATAAATTTTTTTGTAAATCAACACTTTTTATGAGAAAAGTTTCTCGGCCGTGTGCTTTATCCTTTATCGTCAGATGTGGGACAGGATGGGCACTCAAAGCATGAGATAATGATATAGACATTATGTCATTATGTGATATCAAAATTAATTTGCATCCATGAAATTGAATCACAATGTCACTGTATTAATTCATAATAATAATTGACGTCAAACAAGGTGTTGAATTACTGTGTTTAAAAGCTCAATGTGTATGTATATACGCCAAAATGACGATAGAGACCATACGGGAGGAGGTGGGGGGGGGGAGATACATTGTCTCAGGAACCTGGCAAACCCCCTCCTGCAAAAATTCCTGCATCCGCCCCTGCAATGAAACTGTCTGTTACGGCGAGTGTTTTGGGGCTGAGGTGTACGGAACTTTGGGTAAACCACAAGAAATGTCAACGCTGATAGATTAATCAATGCCTGACGTCATAGGGTCGAAAGCAGCTCGCATGACATGGTGCAACCTCCCACTACAACTGGTCAGATCTTCATATAGTGTAGGCCATTTTGAGTTTAAAAAAAACGAAACGAAACGAAATATAGATTTGTACTTTAATCAGACCTTTCTTTTTTTAAATGTAGCAGGTGATGGTTAATAGAGAGAGCGAAATGGGGGTTTAATGTCCGCTCGACATAAACTAGGTCATTTCGGGACTAACACATGGTTCAATTTTATTCAATACTTCTCTTGTGCAGTGGGAGGAAACTGGAGGACCTGGAGAAAAAACCCAAGAGGTTGGACAGGTGACCCTACTCCTTGTCATGTACAACCGGAGAATAGAAACCACGCCATCTGACTCAATGACAGACTTTATGATTGAATGTGTATGCGCTAAGCCGCTAACCATACGGCCACCCAACCTCCCATATATTATAGAGTGTGTGCATCTGGGTAGTTTACACTCTTGCTCCCTTACGTAGTGTACTGAGGAACTTTGGCATCTTCTGAGGGATGGACATGTCCGCTGACATGGTGACAATAGTCGCCAACAATATTGCACTTGGCACAGCATGCAGTGATGATGCATCTCCAGTTAGACTTTTTTTTTCTTTCTATATGTAGCACAGTTTTAATGTGAAGTTCTATTTTCAGGTTATAGTTCATGGTTAGAAATGAAATGAAGTGAAATGGGGTTTAACATCCTACTGTTCTGCTCCTAAACTGGGCTAATGAAGACATGCATACGCCATACAGTGTGCTATGAGTGAAATTTTGCCTGGGCAGCGGCGCTACGGTCTACTCTTATATCGAATTCCAACTGCCAAGGGATCTTTTACGTGCACGCCAATATGTACATGGGACCTCGGTTTTTCGTCCTCCTCCGTCCTGCATCACTGACAAGGGGAAACCACGCCAGAAAATCTGGATGAACTTTCTCAGCCAATGCAGGGATTGGACACCCAACCTCAGTTCATGGTTAGAACTATTTATTTATCATGTTTATCATGTAGAACTTCATCTGTACATACAGCATGAATAGCATAGTTAATACTCGTATTCTCTGTCCAGCTCCATCTTTTAGTTATAGGATTATACATCATACCATGCACCAATCTTGTGGAAAAACCATTCTGGTCTAGGAGATACTGTAAGTCTTGCGGAGATATAAACTTATTCCAGTCATGTGTACCCGGTTCTACTAGCCGTAATAATCGTTCAGCAGCTACAACGCCTAATACATAGGATAGGTTGGTTCGATTTAACGTAGTCAGAAACATTGAGCCACCTGGCTTGACAAGTTTACAACATGCTTTTATAAACATGGATGTATCCAGTACATGTTCAACTACTTCTGATGCAATTACACAGTCAAATGATCTTTCTTCTGACTCAATCAAATCTTCCACAGTGGCACAGATATATTTAATATTAGAAGCCACGTGTTCATTTCGAATGACATGAGCTTGGGCTGTTTTAATATTTTCTACTGAAGCGTCAACACCTATAACAAAAGCTCCTAATCTTGCTAAAGGTTCGGACAATATACCTCCACCACTGCCAACATCTAATATCTTAAAACCTTTTAGTGGACTATGATGAGCTTTAAACTGATGAGATTTTTCAGCACTAGTTTTTTGCTTTTGTTCAATTAAAGCATTCACAATTAATGGAACACGTAATTCATTCATGGTATGCAGTGCACTGAATTCCCCTTCTTCATCCCACCAGAGTTGAGCTAATGCTGAAAACCTTTTAATTTCTTCTTCATCTATGGTTGTTTGTGCTTTTGGTCTTGTCACTTTTGGATTGCCATCTAAATCCAACTTTTGACTTGTTGTACGGAAGTGCCTTAATACGGAAAATGACACCTTTCGCCAACATACGTGTTCTTCACGAAAAGGATAAGCTGTCTTCCTACACAAACCACGAAAGCCCGTTCTAATGCACAGGAATTTAACGAGTCTATTGGAATACTTTATAGTATTCATTTTCCTGGAAAATGTACTCGAACTCAAAATGTCAATAAAGACAGCATGTGGATGTTGGGCGTAGAGTTCACCTTGCGACCGCGCATGCGCTAATCTGTTTAATTTCCGTTTACTCCTTTATTCAGCTATACTGACAATACATCTACCGTTCGTTCCTGCGTTCCTGGGGTTTAACTTCCACTACCAGCTAGTGTGATATCGCAGACAAGAATTCATCTACCCTGATACAACAGGTTTTTTTGCTTTTATTTGATTAAAAGATTTATAAAATAAAAGAAATAATTCTAAAACATAATAGTATCATTACTAAACCTATTCATTCAACATAATATGTGGAGATTTTCAATGAAATGAAATGAAATGAAATGGAGTTTAACGTCCTACTGTTCTGCTCCTAACCTGGGCTAATGAAGACGGGCATACGCCATACAGTGTGCTATGAGGGAAATTTTGCCCGGACAGCGGCACTACGGCCTACTCTTATATCGAATTCCAACTGCCAAGGGATCTTTTACGTGCACGCCAATGTGTACACGGGACCTCGGTTTTTCGTCCCACCCGAACGACTAGACAGCTTTCCTTGTCAGCCCCTCCGTCCTGCATCACTGACAAGGGAGAACCACGCCGGAAAATCTGGATGAACTTTCTCGGCCAATGCAGGGATCGAACAAGATTTTCAATGAGCACAGACATAACTTCAAAAGATTTTCCAATTAACCCTTCCGTGATTAACTGTGTTAGTACACTGGTGACTAATTGGGGCCGCAGGAGCGTATCCAAGAATTTTTGCAGGAGGGGGTTTTAAGAAAAAAATTATGTAGCTGAGCTGAGGAGGGGGGGGGGGTGCTTTGACTCCATCTCTGGATCCGTCCCTGGACTGTTCCATTAAACTGGGATTGTGTTAATTAATCCTCTACTCCACTGTCTGATTTATATGGGTGTCTAAGTTTTGGGAGACCTTGTGTATCAGCACAATATACTGTATGACAAGTAGGCTAATAAAGGTCAATTTTAGGGCCAAAGTATATAAATATTCACTGTCTCAAGATTAAATGTATTTCTTTTGTTAATATCGGCATGGACCTTATAATACATAATTATGTATTATATGGTCCATGATATCGGCTATAGATTTACTAAAACAAATTTTAAAAAAAGAATCACATTTTATAAAGTTATGTCCATTTTAAATTAGCTTTATTTTTTTTCATTTCACTTACACACAGCCATATTTATACGCAGTGATTCTCAACCAGTGTGCCGCGGCGCACAGGTGTGCCGCGAGATCTTCCTAAGTGTGCCACGGAATTTTGAACGGCACACTAAGAAAATGCTAAAAATTGAGTATTCACTGGTGTCTACTTATAAGTTCATAGCTGTTTTTTTTATTTAGTTTGAGTCATTCTGTGCGTCTATGACTAGTCTCTGTCTACGGGTGTATGCCGTCTGACTTGCCATGTTTTTATTTTTCAAAATTCAAATATTTTTCATTAGCCAGGTGTGTCGCTATTTTGTTATGTGTTCCAGGGTGTGCCCATAGCAAAAAAAAAAAGGTTGAGAACCACTGTTCATACGTGTGAGTTTTAATGAGGGGGAGGGGGGATAATATGTACTCGACACAAAAAATAGTAGGTCTACATAGATTTGGTGGATGGGTTTACTCAGATTAACGGTACGTGGTGTGCATTTTTTTTTTTTTGTTGAAAATATCAAATGCTATCGTAGACTAAAAGGTAAATGTAACATGGCGAACATCACAGTGAGGCCTAATTTAAGGACAATTTTTGGATCTGGTAGTTCTTATCGTGTGCAAATATTATAAATTTACTTTTTCTTAAATTTTCAAATGTCACTGGTCCTTTCACGCAGTACATATTATATTTACTTGGTCTAGATGTCTGTTCAGCTGAACGACCAGACACTATTTTTTTTCTCTAGCGCCGCGGGTATTTGTCTGGATTATCATGTAGGCCTGCTATACTACACCACTAGTCACGAGTGTGACGAATGGCCACAGCTTAACCTAAAACAGGTTACTTTACGGCATCATCATCTTGTTCGAAAATCTTATGGTTTTTATTACACTGTTTCCAAAAAACAAAAGAGGATAAGATTCATGAGGAAAGAGAAATATTTCTATAAAGATATGTTTATATTTTGAAGGGGTTTTTTTTTTAGTGTTTTCTTTTTCGTTCGTGTTAAGACTTCGAGACTAAGATTTAGCTCTAAACAATAATTAAATAACAGAATTAATATATAATCCCATAACAAGGTTTACCAGCTTAAAAAGTCACCTACTTATGATAAAACAATAAAAGATTTACCACTTTCATCGTATGCATACATAAGATGGAAATGAACGCGCTGTGTACAAAAATCGCAGCGTTTCATAGGGCAAGGGAAATAACTCTATTAGGACATGTCAACATGGATACAGACCACTGACTTTTGAAATGAATGGGTTTTAATGTCTTACTCTTTTCCCTCCAACATGGCAAATGAAGATGCATCCATGCAAAGTGTTTTGGGGACAATTTTGTCCGGATAACTGCGTTACTATACATAAATATTAAAAATTTAACCCAACCTTATGTTGTATTTTAATAAAGAGCTGACCATTCCTGCTGTAACCGTTCATATATCGGATGAAAAATTAATATAGCTTGTAAATTTCAGTCAAATTACATTGTTGTGAACGAAGCTATAATTGTTTGAAGTTTTGACAAGAAATAGCCATCAATTGGCTCCTTTAATTGCCGATCTATTAAGAATTTTCCAAATCAGCGTTATTAAACGTACGCTTCCACGAAGTGATATTGTGAACGAATACTGCACTTTTAAACTTGTATGTGTACGCCAAAGTCGGGTTTTCGGTGTTCTGTTATGTGTACGCCAAAGTAGGATTTTCGTCTCATCCAAACGACCAAAATTTGTTCTTTTCCACGCCTTCCATCCTTTATCAGTGACAAGAGGAAACCATACCGGAAAATCCGAGATCGACTTGATAGTGGGCCAACGCCTTACACACTGAGCGACAATGGCCTCCCAAAGCTCTGCAACATACACGTTCCTGGAGTAACTATCGCAAGTTTTACAACATCAAGCTCGATAAGATATACGGAGTTAAAGCCAGATCAACATATATAGATGTGCAACATAGTGAGTCATTATTCCTTGCCTGGGACCTGTTAGTAGTATACTACATCGATAATTATATCGACACATATTTTTACGAGGAAGGATCAGAAAGTGTCGGCTATAGAGAAATTCCCCTAAAAGTGACGTCACCGATGTTTCTTTGAATTCGAGGCTCAAGATGATCAGCCTCCATTAATATTTTCACCAGAAAAGCTTTAAAATCTCGGGCTCTTTTGGTTTCAAAGATTAAGATTAAGATTACCAGTCTAAGTTTATTAATTTTACCCCTAATTTCGCGCAGTCTCTGTGCTTATAGCAATTGTTCCTTTCCATGTCTTTTATCTTTATTCATGGTAATTTGTGTTGTCGTTTTTGATTTATCTAGAATCGAAAAAATCGTGTTTAAATTCACATTTTCTGAAGCCGATGGATCAGGGAATAATCAGGTATGAATTGTGAAAATCACCTATGAAAATGGCGTCTGCGCTTATATTCATTTGTCCTGCCAGGCCTTGAAGTCAGTTAGACAAGTGGCGTGGTTTTGATACTTCCACATTTTAAAGCACTGGTATATTTTAAAGGGCGCCCTTTCTTCCCGGTTGGGGAGGGGGGGGGGGATGGTTAACGCGTAGGACATAAAACCCCATTTTATTTCACTACGGAGAACTCCTCAAATTCCAACTAGGGGGGGGAGGGCTGTTGTCGAATAGTTACCGCGTGCGCGCTGTATCATGAGGTCTGTCACTGAGTCAAGTGGCGTGGTTTCGAATGCCCGCTTGTACGTGATAAGGCGTAGGGTCGCCTGTCCAACATCGTGTGTTTTCTCAGAGTCCACCGGTTACTCCCCACTACTATAGACCTACCCGCAAATATTGAATCATATGCTAGTCCCGAAATTTCTGTTTCTGTTGAGTCAACGAGGTTTAACCTCCCTCTCTCTCTCTCTCTCTCTCTCTCTCTCTGGTCACTGATAATTCCTATGAAGACGAAGAGTTGTTATATGAGATTATGTAAGGATATATAATATCAGTTAGAAACGAACTATTCATAAAAAAAAATAATTAACTACCACGAGATCAGAAAAAGTCGAGGGAAAAAATTAGAAAAAAAAGAACAGTTCTACGACTTACCTAGTTTTGGTTAATTCTTTACTTATATTTGAAGCGATAATTGATGTTTATTCCGGTGTTATGAACAGAGTAAGCGAACCCCACATCATACACAACCTCGATCACTACTTAAATATTGATTTCAGAAGCTGGACGTACTACTCATCCGGCACTCTAAATTATCTCAGAAATACCATACTCGTAAAAATCCGGCTTACTAAATTATCTCAAAAGTACCATACTCGTGGAAATCCGGCCTACTAAATTATCTTAGAAAAACCTTATCAGTGATGCATTACGGGAGGTCTGACAAGGAACAGTTGTCTAGTCGTTCGGATGGGAAGACAAACCGAGGTCCTGAGTACACATTGGCGTGCACGTAAAAGATTCCTTGGCAATTGGAATTCGATATAAGAGTAGGTGTGTCGCTGTCCGGGCAAAATTTCCCCCATATCACACTGTATGGCGTATGCCCGTCTTCATTAGCCCAGTAGGAGTAGAACAGTAGTCTCGGTCACCCAGGACCTCCTAGTCTTCAACGTGTTCGCAGAATATTTTTTCTAGATGATAGAGACTAGCAGAACAGTAGCACGTTAAACCACATTTCATTTCATTTCATTTTTCTATTAAAATGGTATAAGAAAGAAGATCGTGGTTTTATGGATTAATGATCCCATACAGTTTCATATAACAATTCTTCGTCGCCAAAGGAGAGAGAAAGAGGGAAATGGGATTTAACGTCCACTCGACACAAACTAGGTCATTTCGGGACTAACATATGGTTCAATTTTATTTCAACAATTCGCTTGCGCGTAGGGGTCTTTAG